TCTTGTTTACCTTGAACACCAATATCTTGAATGTATTACCTTGAATATTTCAAATTGATTTGGAAGCCCCAATAACTCTTTCTTTGAGAATTTTACCCTCAAAATGTTGAACCTGAACCCTTGGATAGTTTGAAGTTTTTTCTTGGTCCCATTAAGTTCTAAATAATGTTGTTTGACTACAGAAACACTGATTTTACAGTTGGAATAAAGGCTTGATGAGTTTACTATTCTTACTGATAACTTTTTAAACATTGTTAAAATGAATCACTGACTGAATGAAATTGGACGCCTATCTGACTTTTTTAAAGAATTTGAAAAGACTGACTAACTGGTGGTACTGATATTTCAGACAGACTTATAAACCTTCACTGATCTTGCTGTATTGACTTACTGATCGGATCCCATTCACACTGGACACATTGACAATGTTTCCTTTAGTCTATCAGGTGTGGCACGGCCAGCATGGTCATATGGTATATACTCCTGTAAATATAGCCACAGGTGTAAATGAAATTGCAAAAACTTTAGCTTTTAAACTCATCAGCTAACATAAAGGACAGCAAAAGGAAGAGTACTGTAAATTCCTTATTTTTCGCAAGTATTTTTATCGCGTACTGGCTCTTCAACATCAAATCGCGAGAATAATAATCCGCAAATGGACAGCTGATCAATAGAATGAAAATGGATTTCAGCACCCTAAAAATACAAAAGGCCCAAGGGCCTTGAATCGCTCTTCTGATAAATTGTACAATCTATCACTTCTATTAGAAGCCTCCAACTCTATTAGTATCATAAGACCCAAAATGCGTTTACTTACAAAGTTTGATAATATTTAGCCAGTTAAGACTGAAGATATTATAATATAATTATAAAATACCATAAGTAGGTCACAGTGACCTACCTTTTGAGTGAAATTTTCTGAGGACTCAAGATACATTAATTGACAAAGACTGATAATTCCAATTAAAAAAGTACCTGCGATATTCAAAAGTAGGTCATCATGACCTACTTTAGTGAACATTCTCTGAAAACACAAGATGCATCATCTGACAAAGTTTGACGATTCTAAGCCAATTAGTACCAGAGATAATTAAATATAGCCATCAAATGTCAAAAGTAGGTCATGGTGACTTACTTTTTGGTTGACGTTATCCAAAAACCCAAGATGCCTAAACTGACAAAATTTTATGATTCTAAGCCAATAAGTACCTGAGATATTCAAAAGTAGGTCACCGTGAACTACTTTTTGGTTGACATTCTCCGAAAACCCAAGATGCATCAACTCACAAAGTTTGATGATTCTAAGCCACTGAGTACCGGAGATACTTAAATAAAGCCATAAAATGTCAAAAGTAGGTCACCATGACCTACTTTTTGGTCTACATTCTCCGAAAAGCCAAGATGCATCAACTCACAAAGTTTGATGATTCTAAGCCACTGAGTACCGGAGATACTTAAATAAAGCCATAAAATGTCAAAAGTAGGTCACCATGACCTACTTTTTGGTCGTCACTCTCCGAAAACCCAAGATGCATCAACTCACAAAGTTTGATGATTCTAAGCCAATAAATATCTAAGATACTTAAATATAGCCATAAAATGTCGAAAGTAGGTCTTCGTGACCTACATTTTGGTCGACATTTTCAAAGACCCAAGATACATCTACTGACCAAGTTTGATGATCATAGGTCTGAAGGTAATCAAAATATGCGTTTTAAACAATTTGAAAACAAATGTCGGCAAAATTCAAAAAGTAGGTCACAGTGACCTACTTTTTCATAAATATGTTTTAAGGTCCCAAGATGCATCAAAGTACAAGATTTGATGATTCGAAACCTCCCAGTGTCTAAAATAATGGGATTTAATGTTTTTAAAAGGATAAGTCATAAAGTTCAGCCCCGTGGGGATCCGGGTTAGAATAGGTCCTCAGTACCCCCTTGCTTGTCGTAAAAGGCGACTAAATGGGGCGGTCCTTCGGATGAGACCGTATAAACCGAGGCCCCGTGTCACAGCAGGTGTGGCACGATAAAGATCCCTCCCTGCTCAAAGGCCCTGAGTGCCGAGCATAGGCCTAAATTTGCAGCCCTTCACCGGCAATGGTGACGTCTCCATATCAGTGAAATATTCTGGAGAGGGACGTTAAACAGTATATAATCAATCAATCAATCATAAAGTTCAAAAAGTAGGTCAGAGTGACCTACTTTTAAGTTGACATTGTTTGAAGACCCAAGAAGCATCAACTGACATAAGTTTGATGATCATAGGCCTTAAAGTGTCCAAAATATGCCTTCAAATCAATTTGAAAACAAATCCCCGCAAAATTTAAAAAGTAGGTCACCGTGACCTACTTTTGAGTTAACATGATGTAATGTCCTAAGGTGCATCAACTTACAAGATTTGATGATCCTAGTCCTTATAGTAAGCAAAATATACATGTTTTTATTAATTGTAAATTTAGGTCAACTTTGAAGTGACCTTGAGACCAGGCCCTTTGCCCCAGGGTAATTCCCCGTGCAAATTTTAATCTTAAACATATCCTGATCCTTGTATGTAAGTTTGGTGAAAATCTGCCTGGTGGTTATGGAGAAGAAGATTTTTTAGCAACCAGTACTTTTGGTTTTGTTTTCCCAATTATCTCCCCTTGTTAGCTCACCTGAGCCGAAGGCTCAAGTGAGCTTTTCTGATCAAAATTTGTCTGTCGTCTGTCGTTGTTGCGTCGTCGTTGTTGTAAACTTTTCACATTTTCATCTTCTTCTCAAGAACCACTGAGCCGATTTCAACCAAACTTGCCACAAAGTATCCTTGGGTGAAGGGGATTCAAGTTTGTTCAAATGAAGGGCCACGCCCTTTTCCAAGGGGAGATAATTATGAATTAGAGAAAAATTAATGGCATTTTTTAAAAATCTTCTTCTCAAGAACCACTGGGCCAGGAAAGGTGAAACTCATGTGGAATCATCCTAAGGTAGTGTAGATTCAATTTTGTTCAAATCATGACCCCCAGGGGTAGGGTGGGGCCAAAATGGCCGATCAAAGTTTTACATAGGAATCATAGGAAAAATCTTTAAAAATCTTCTTCTCCAGAACCACTGGGCCAGGAAAGATGAAACTCATGTGGAATCATCCTCAGGTAGTGTAGATTCAAGTTTGTTCAAATCATGACCCCAGGGGGTAGGGTGGGGCCAAAATGGCCAATCAAAGTTTTACATAGGAATATATAGGAAAAATCTTTAAAAATCTTCTTTTCCTGAACCACTGGGCCAGGAAAGATGAAACTCATGTGGAATCATCCTCAGGTAGTGTAGATTCAAGTTTGTTCAAATCATGACCCCCAGGGGTAGGGTGGGGCCACGGTGGATGATCAAATATTTACATAGGAATATACAGGAAATATCTTCAAAAACCTTCTTCTCAAGAACCACCGGGCCAGGAAAGATGAAACTCATATGGAATCATCCTAAGGTGGTATAGATTCAAGTTTATTCAAATCATGACCCCTGGGGCTAGGGTGGGGCCAAAATGGCTGATCAAAGTTTTACATAGGAATATATAGGAAAAATCTTTAAAAATCTTATTTTCCTGAATCACTGGGCCAGGAAAGATAAAACTCATATGAAATCATCCTCAGGTAGTGTAGATTCACGTTTGTTCAAATCATGACCCCCGGGGGTAGGGTGGGGCTAAAATGACTGATCAAAATTTAACATAGTATTTCAAAGCCTTGATTAGTTATTAAATTTATATGGAAACATCCTCAGGTAGTGTAGATTCTAGTTCGTTCAAATTATGATCCCCTGGGGGGGGGGGGGGGGGGTAAAATTCAAGCCCCCCCTCCTCCCCCACCTCAGTAAACTTTCAGTTCTGATCTGATATGTGCTTTTTCCTAGCCGATGTGCTCAGGTGAGCGCTGTGGCCCCTGGGCCTCTTGTTTAAGGGTCCCAACCCTTATTTTAGTATAAATGGTAGCCCTTGGGCCAAGGATACCCTGTGACAAATTTGGTACTGATTGGCCAAGGGGTTCTTGAGTTATGGCCCATATTCTAAAAAGTTTACGCACACCGCATGTTACATTATGTACGACTTATCTAAAATGTGATTGGAACTCTTTTGTTGTTTAAGTTAGTTTTAGTTGTTAATAAATGGAATGAAAAAGCACATGGTGTTTTCCATCAAACAAAAGACAAAACATGGTGTCAGAAAGTCAAAAATATCCTAGACATTAACATGGATAAGCTGGACCCACCAAAAGGACTGTCACTGACAGGAAATGTTGCCGATAACTGGATTAAATTCAAACAAAGGTTTGAACTTTACATTCAAGCGACTGGGTTAGAGGCAGACAAAGAGAAGCCCACCCAGAAAGCATGTTTGTTCCTTCATTTGATCGGCGAAGATGCACTAGAAGTCTATAACAATTTTCAGTTTGCACAAAAATGAAGATAAGAAAAAGTTAGACAAGATAATTGAGAAGTTTGAAGCATATTGTATGCCAAAGAAAAACACAACCTATGAGCGGCACAAGTTTTTCACACTGATGCAAAAACCGGACGAAACCATCGACCAGTACGTTACTGAGCTTCGCACCAAAGCAAAAAACTGTGAATTTGGTGATTTAACTGATTCATTGATAAGAGACCGCATCATATGTGGTGTTCCAGATGATTCATTGCGAGAACGTTTGCTCAGAGTACAAGATCTTAACCTAGATGGAGCCATACCTATGTGCAGGGCTACAGAAGCTACAAAGGAACGAATGAAAGAATTAAAACCAGAAGACAAGGAGGTACATACTGTTAAAAGTAAACACAACCCAAAACCCTTCAAACAAAAACAGATAAACAAAGCTTTTGTAAACAAAGGATACCAACAGAAAAGTCATGGACAATATAAAAGATGTGGGGGAAACCATGGTAAGGATTATACAGCAGTTGGACAAGTATGCAAGAAATGTGGTAATCAAAACCACTATGCTAAAATGTGTTCTACCAGTAAAAAGAAAGTCCATGAGATAAACGAACTCAATGACAGTGAAAGTGAGGCAGGTGAATTCTTTGTGTATACGGTGGAGAATTCTAATGCAGAAGAAACTGATGAATGGTTCACACATCTGAAGACAAATGGAACAGAAATAAAGTACAAACTAGATACAGGAAGTCAGGTTAACATCATAACAGAGGAACTATTCAACAAATTGAAATCCGAACCAAAGATTCACACATCAAAGATCAAGCTAACTTCCTACAGTTGAAATTCCATTCCTATTAAAGGAACATGTGTGTTGACAGTGATGAGAAAACTACAAGTTTTCAAGCTGCACTTTGTAATAGTAACAGAGTCGCGCACACCTATCATTGGAGTTAGTGCATGCAGCAGACTAGGACTTGTCCAGAGAGTTTACATGGTAACCAAAAATGAGGAACCAAAACAAAAGGAAGTCTCAACTGTCCAAGATCTTGTGGAAAACTATGATGATATATTCCAGGGACAGGGCTGTTTGCCGGGTGAACACAGAATTCAGCTTGACGAGAAGGTTTCACCAGTGATACATCCCTGCAGAAAAGTACCCTTTGCATTACATGATAAACTGAAACAGGAGCTCGACAGAATGGAAAAGGCTAACGTTATATGCAAGGTTGAGGAGCCAACAACCTGGGTTAGCTCGATCGTCTTGCCCGTAAAGAAAAATGGAGCACTCAGAGTATGCTTAGATCCGAGAGACCTAAACAAGGCCATTAAGCGAGAGCACTTCAAGCTACCATCAAGGGAAGAAGTAATGTCAAAATTCAAGGATGCAAAGTACTTCAGCAAGCTCGACGCCTCGTCAGGAATTTGGCAAATGAAACTTGACAAACAGTCTTCCATGTATACATGTTTCAATACACCTTTTGGAAGATACAGATTCCTACGCTTACCATTTGGCATATCCTCCGCATCGGAGGTATATCATAAAGCAGTACACATGATACTGGAGCACCTCAAGGGGACATCATCATTCATGGATGACATCATAGTCTGGGGAGCAACCCTTGAAGAACACAATGAGAGATTAAAACAAGTTCTGGAGACTGTTAGAGGAGCAAATTTAAAGCTCAACAAATCAAAATGTGAATTCGGAGTGCAGGAATTGACATTTTTAGGAGATGTAATCTCAGACAAAGGGATCAAACCAGACCCTGAAAAATACGGGCAATTGAACAGTTTCCAACCCCGACGAATAAGCAAGACGTCCAAAGATTTCTAGGAATGGTCAATTATCAAAGGAAGTATATCTCAGACCTTTCTACCAAAACGCACACACTCCGACGTCTTCTGGAAGAGAAGAATGTGTTTCAGTGGACGCAAGAGGAAAACGAATCCTTTGAAGAACTGAAGAAAGTTTTGACTTCAGAACCAGTTCTACAATTCTATGACCCAGATGCAGAGACAAGAATCTCTTCAGATGCATTGAAAACAGGCCTAGGGGCGGTTCTTCTCCAAAAACATGATGACAAATGGATGCCTGTTGTGTGTGCCTCGAGAGCTATGACTACAGCAGAAAAGAACTACGCTCAAATAGAGAAAGAAATGTTGGCAATTACCTTCGCTTGTGAACGATTCCATCAATTCATATACGGACAAGCCGTGCAAGTAGAAACTGATCACAAGCCCTTGGAAGCCATCTTTAAGAAATCCTTGAGCGATTGTCCTATTCGGATTCAAAGACTGATGCTCCGACTGCAGAAATATACACTAGTGGTATTTTATACACCAGGAAAGTTCATGCACACAGCTGATGCATTGTCAAGAGCCTATTTACAGACAGCGTGTAGTGGAGATTTGTCAGGAGAAGAAGAAGTTCAAGTTTACGTGGATTCAGTAATTACAAACCTTTCAGTGTCAGACAGAAAATTAGAAGAAATACGTCAAGAAACAGTTAAGGATGAGCAACTTCAAAAACTGAAGCAGACCATCAGGGACGGACTTCCTAAACAGAAATGGGACTTACCCTCCTTGATACAAGAATACTGGAATTTCAGGAGTGACTCAGCTACGCAGATGGCCTTATACTCAAAGGTACCAAAATAGTCATTCCAAACTCCCTTAGGAAAGAAATGTTGCAGAAAATTCACACAGGACACCTGGGAATTGAAAAATGCAGACAAAGAGCCCGACAAATCATGTATTGGCCAGGAATGAATCAGAGTATCGAAGAAAAGGTCAAATCATGCTCCGAGTGTCTGAAACACAGAGCAAAACAAACAGCAGAACCATTGCTTTCACACGAAACAGCAAATTAAACGTAATAAAAAATTGGAGTGGATTTGTGCGTGTGCAAGAACAAAAATTATCTAGTCATATGTGACTACTACTCGAATTACCCTGAAGTTTGTCCACTAAAGAAGACAACAAGTACAGCGGTAATCAAAGCCATGAAGTTCATATTTGCAGGACACGGCATTCCTAAGATCATCATCTCGGATAATGGACATCAGTTCACCTCGGAAGAATTTCGAAAATTTGGAGAAAACTACAACTTCCAGCACAAAACATCAAGTCCTCGACACCCACAGTCTAATGGATTAGCAGAGAAAACTGTCGGTATCATCAAGAATCTACTCAAGAAATCAGGAGAAGATTTTTACCTTAGTAACCTTGCTTACCGTGCAACACCGCTATCCTGTGGAAAATCACCAGCTGTAATTCTGTACAACCGAAAACTTAGGACTGACTTCCCTTTGTTGGAAGAACATCTATATACGTCTAACAGAGAAGATGTCATCAAACAGAGAAAAATTAGTCAAGAGAGACAAAAGTATTACTACGACAGATCAATTCATCAGTTACCAAAATTAGAGGAAGGAGACATGGTCAGATTAAGAAATCCAGATGATACAGCATGGACGGAGCGGGAAACAATCCAAAAGCAAATCGATCAAGGATCATATATTGTGTCAACCGGAAATGCAGAATATCGCAGAAATCGAAAAGACATTCTAAAGACTTGCGAAAATCCGACTAGTTATCCGCGCAATGAACCAGAACCGAGTGATCATGAAGTAGAAGCGACTGGAGACGAAAATATCCGAAAGCGTGATAACCAAAATTGTGAAACAGTGCGTCCTAGGAAACAATGTGGCCCTCCGAAAAGATTCATTGAGGAATGTTAAATAACTGTAGACACCTTTGCATGCATAGATTATATCTCTTGTCATTTATCAGTTTAGTCAAAGACGTTTCCAATTTGTGTTCAGAAATATAGTCCAATAGTGAAAAAACTGTCTCATTAATGCTATGTGATGTTAATTGATTTCAATGATTTATATAATCAAGTATTCTCTTTCTTTAAGTAATTGAGTGAATTACACTATATTTTTTTAAGGGGGGAGATGTTACATTAAGTACGACTTATCTAAAATATGATTGGATTCTTTTGTTGTTAAAGTTAGTTTTAGTTGTTGTTAATAAATGGAATGAAAAAGCACATGGTGTTTTCCATCAAACAAAAGACAAAACACCGCACACCGCACAAATGGCCATAGCATTAGCTCTTTGAGCCTTTGGCTCAGAAGAGCTAAAAAGCGAGTAATATTATTTCGTGAGTGATGCTTCTCGCGAAATAATGCGGAAATTAACTCCTCGCATATAATTAGGAATCTACTAAAAAGTATTTAAACATGGGGAGCCACCATACCTGACATTGATGTCAAAGATTCTGTCGTACTGCTCCAGAGATGTGTTCTCTATGCTGCCCAACTCCAGAATTCCTGCACAGTTCACCTGGAAAGGCATTTATATTTATCCTGGACCCCATATTTTTAAGAATTTACATTTATATGTACATCTTAGACCAAATTGGAATTTTGAAAGTAATTTTCTATTTTTCATAAACCTGAAAATGGGTTTAATTTTTTAAAAAGAAATTTAATCATGGATTTATCCATTTTTTTTTTTTTTCAAACATGACAAGAAGCACGTGGTTGGTGTGCCCGGTCAGCAGAGGAAACTCACTCTTCCATGGCACCTGATCCCTGACCCACCTCTCATTTTCTGGAGGTCCGTAATTGCTTTGCTCATATTTGTAATGTTTAAAGGACTTCTGAGCCCAAATACTGTTCATTATCTCTACATAAAATTCATGTCCTAATTACCAGAATGTTAAGTTTTCCAAAGTGTGATATAGTGGTGTCCAACACTCTCTTTGTATCTTCTTCTTTGACCAGATCACCAGGTATCAACAGAGGCTGAAAAATAACACAGTAAACCAAATAGGATTTAAACAATAAAAAATGCTATTGCTAAAAAGGTTATTGTATTCAGGTCAATTATACACTGTATGGAACGCCATCACTGCCTTATAGCATAAATCTATGCATTCATTATGTCAATCTATCATTACGTGATGTGAACATATTTTTACGTTATATCAATTTTTTATGGGGTGATGTAAAAATATCTTTACATCATGTCAATGCTGCATTACATGAAGTAAACACATTCTTCCATTATGTCAGCACTTTATAACTTGAAGTCGGAAGTTCATTATGTGAAGTGAAAATATGTTTACATTGTGTTAAATCTTTATTACGTGAAATGAATGTTTGTTTATATTATTTCATTTCTTTAATATGTGAGGTCAAAATTGCATTACGTCAAGTAAATTGTGTTTTATAATTAAACTTATCATTACATGAAGTCAAAAGTCCATTCCTTTTTGAGAATGTTTATGTCTATTATATCAAAGCATTATTACGTGATATGGATTTATCTTTATTTTACGGCGAGAGCATCATGATGTGAGGTGAACACATCTTACCTTTATGTCAGTGCTTTATTACATGGTGTAAAAAGTGTGTAACATAATGTGAACATATCTTTATATTATATCAACACTTTATTACATTATGTCAAAACTCCATTCCGAGATGTGGATATATAATTACGTTATGTCAACTCTTTCTTATCATATGTGATTTAAAAAATATCCTTATATTGTGTTAACTCTTTATCATGTTGATTCCAAAAGTTCATTACCTGATGTGAAAATACATTTACATTATCTGAAAGCTGCATATCTAGTATGATGAATGTTGACGACCGTGTTTTAATGACTGGTAAGAGGGGGGGGGGGGGGGGGTCCCGATTGAGTAGGACGAATTATAGACACATAATATCAGCCCCCCCCCCCCCCCCCCCTCTTTTCCCAGACATAACCTTATTTTAGAAAATGTAATGTTCATTGAAAGTACAGCCCCCACCCCCACTTATTGTTGAAGTATAGTCCACTAGGGGTAATGTAGTATAACTGAAAAAATATAGGACTGATCGAAGTCGTACCCCCTCTCCGAAATAGGATTTTCGGGCTTAGACAAATTTTTTTGGCTTGTCAAGTTTTTTCGGGTAAATAATTTTTTTTTCTGGCTGACATCCTTTTTCAAATAAATGCTATGTCACAGAATTAGTTACTGTAATTTTTTCAACCATTCCAAGACCAGAATTCTGTTACAAAAATCTACCAGTCCCTCATCTAAATCAATTGAGCATGCATGGGCACATATTTGTGGCGCATATGGGAATCTTGAAAAAAGAAGGGGGACGGTATAGAGTTGGTGACCAAAGGGGGAAAGCGGAAAAACTCTCCGGCAGGCTTTATAGTTTAATATAGAAAAAGTTTTCAATTTAATTCAGCTAAACTTAATGTGAAAGTAATGCAATGACCTACAACGTAAAACTAATAAATTTATTAATTTTATGTATATTTTGGTGACTAAAGATGGTAGGGCGGGATTTCTGCCCCCCCCCCCCCCCCCTCCCCAACCCGCCAGTGCACGTGTGTTATAAAAGCAATTCAAAAGAAAAAAAAATGCTGCACGACTCATATTTGATTTATTTAATTATCAGATAAAAGTAAACGCCATTGAATTTCGACGCGTGGCTTTAATTCACAGTCGCAGTGTTAAGGCTTTGCACGTTTCAAGATTGTCAATCATTTTTCGCTTAATGTTTTCATTTAAAGATGCAATTCCCAAATCGCTGAGAATTTATTTTATGAGTTTTCTCTCCCGCCATTTTTAGTGCTTTCGGAATGCGGAAAATACGTTATGCTCATATAAAGTCCGAGGATACCCGTGTTCGCATAACGTAATAGTGAATCGACATAATGTAGAAGAGTGCGCACAGTATGACATGAGCTTTTCACATCTGATATGAGATGAAATAGCCTAAGATACATGTATGCTGACAAGAGGCTTAGCATTTTTGACACAATGTAAAGACACAATGACATAACGTAATAACGATCTGTCAAAAAGTAAGGGCAAATTCACATCATGAAATTGATTCACGTCGTCATGTAGCATATTGAGGGCATAAAGTAGTAAAAGAATTGACCACATGTGACAATTTTTTCAGATCATGTAATGAAATTCTGACATCGTATTATAACGACTTGATATTGAGTTAAAGATAAATTCACATCATGTATTGAACTACTTAGACCAAATAGTAGAGAGTGCACATAATGTAATAATGAGTTGAAAATATATAAAAACATTTTTACACCACGTAAAATTGTTTTGACTTAATATCATAAAGAGCTGATATAATGCAATGGAAGATTGGCGCAATGTAATTAAAGTGCAAGTTAATGCCATAAAGACTAAACATAATGTAATTGAAATTTGATATAACGCAATAGTAATGTGTGTAATTGTCATGAAGAGTTAACAATATGTAATGAAAAGTTGACACAATGCAATAGTAGTGTGGACTAATGTCATAAAGAGTTGACATAAAATAATGGAAGGTTGACATAATGCAATAGTACTGTGGGCTAATGTCATAAAGAGTTGACATAATATAATGGAAGGTTGACATAATGCAATAGTATTGTGGGATAATGTCATAAAGAGTTGACATAATGTAATGTAAGGTTGACACAATGCAATTGTTGTGTTCTGCTATAAGGCAGTGACGGCGTTCCATACACTGTCTTTCTGATGATGCCGTTTTTATCCTATCTAGATCTTGTTTATTTTGAAAAAAGGGAGGGTATATAATAAACAGGATTATACAACACATTTTTGCGGTCACGATTTGAAACATTTAGAAGCTCCACTACATACCCAAGATGCTTCGACATAAGTTTCAGCTTTTCTGGCCCAATAGTTCTTGAGAAGATTTTTAAAGATTTTTTTCTATATATTTCTAAGTTAAGCTTTGATTCCCTATTGTGGCCCCGCCCAACCCCCGGGGGTCATGATTTGAAGAATCACGATGGACAATATGTGATCAGAAAAGCTCACTTGAGTCTCTGGCTCAGGTGAGCTAAAAATCTTTAAAAATCTTCTTCTCAAGAACCGCTGGGCCAGAAAAGCGGAAACTTGTACGGAGGCATCCTGGGGTTGTCAAACCATGACACCCAGGGGTAGAACAGGGCCACTAAAGGAAATTCATGTTTTACATTGAAATATATCAGAAAAAAATTAAAGACCTTCTTATCAAGAACCACTGGGCTAGAACAGCTGAAATTCTGACGTGTGGAAGCATCCTGGTGTAGTGTAGATTTTTTTAATTGTTCAAATCATGACCCCCAGGGATAGGTGGGGCCACGATATAGAGAATCCAAGTTTAACATTGAAATGTATAGGAAAAATCTTTAAAAATCCTCATGTGGAAGCATCCTGGGGTAGTTTTTGAACTATACAGCTGTTATAGCATCATCTTAAGGATAAATAACACAAACAAACTTTTTTCAGAAATCAGCATGATTTCTCATAGATTTACATTTAAATTGACAACCTGAATAATGTTTACCAAGTAGAAAGGGAGAATTTTATAAGATTTTGTCATCAAGTTAAAAAATTGTGCAAAATTTTGTATGGAATTATATAGAAGGCAAAATAAAATCTCAAATCTAAACACCAAGGGAAACCTACGATTTCTTTATATTTCAGGGATTTATTATTTATATCAATACAAATCAAAATCAGTCAAAAAATATATATCAACCCGCGCATCAATTTTTTGTTTGTGGTAAGTACCCTTAAGCCATGGTCCAGAGTCCGCATATACAGCTATCTCCTACCCATAGCTGCTTGGTTGTAAAAAGTGTCGTAATCTTGAAGGTTTACACCTTGCTATTGTGATGTCATATTCAGTCACTGACAAGTTTTGTTTCAATCGCAGTTGAAATCAACAATTGACATCAACAGTATACAAGATATACTTTGTACACTGCAGAAAGGTTGCACCTAAGTTCATTATCCGACTATGCTTTACTCGCATTGGTCAATATTTTAATGATCTACGAAATATTCTCTTCTCATTCAACCACGGCCAGAATGGAAGAGGATCGTACATTTTGGCCGTGGTTAATTGCGACGATGCTGTTATAGTAGCTTGGAATTTGATCGTAGATTTCCAGCATGCAAAAAAATGAGGTCACAATCGCATTTGTTTACAAGCAGCTCAGAGTTTCCCAAAAGTGAAAAAGTGATGGAACGGAGCAGATTATACCCTAGAACGGAGTTAGGGAGTTTTGTGATGTTTTACTCCTATTCTTTATATACTTTATTTACCTAAAATTTCCACATGCTAGATATACATGTTGTACTTTTAATCTTTGGATATTTCAGAGTGTTTTCTCAGTCCAGCTATTGAGTTCTAAGTATTGCTGTCTGAATTTACTTTAAATTATTGTCTTTCTTTCAGTTCGTACTTTATCTAGACACTGCTCTCCGACTTTCTTCAGGTTTTCCTCCTTTCTGCCCGTCAGTGCCACACTTGCCCCCAGCCTGGACAGCAACACGGCAGTCGCTGCCCCGATACCAGAACTGGCGCCTGAAAAATAAAGACATAAAATGGCAAAAATAGACTGATTCATGCAGGATGTTTACAGGCTTACATAGCTGCAGAACTGTAACTCTCCGAAAAATACACATTGACAGCCGGAAAGCTACAGTCCCACCCATTGAAAAAACTGTATGCTTATTGCCCACAAAAAAGTGTGTTGTTTTTTAAACTGTCAACTCAAAATATGTTCCTAACATATTTTCACTGTTTCCACAACAAAACATTCAAATAAGTTGTTTTAAATAGCCCACCCATGGCCCTGGAATTGAGATTATCAAAAATTTTGCCTATTTATACTGCCATTTTGGTCTGGAAGATAATTCGATCCAATGCACTTCGTTCAGATGTAAACTACGCGAGTAATTGACAGAGGAGAAAAATGGACTTTTTGAAATCTAGCTTTTTTGCAATTGGGGTAAGAATTTGGAAACCAGAATTTATCTAGAACCGAACCTTTTTGTGCGCAATAAATATACAATTTTTTTCAATGGGTGGCACTTTTGGACTTTTTGAAATCTAGCTTTTTTGCAATTGGGGTAAGAATTTGGAAACCAGAATTTATCTAGAACCGAACCTTTTTGTGCGCAATAAATATACAATTTTTTTTCAATGGGTGGCACTCCAGTAGGTCAATATATATATTTTTTGGAGAGCTACAGTTCTGCAGTTAAGGCTTATATAAATATACAGACGATAAATCCATCACTGTCCATCAGCTGCTTTCAGCAGTTGATTGGTGCACTCTCGTCAGTAGATAACTATTTATAAAATACATGTCACAGAAACATTATTACATATTTAAAGAATTGAAATTTGAATAACAAGTATAATTACCTGTGATTAGAGCCACTTTTCCACTTAAATTTCCTAAACCTGTAGCCATGGTTTACAAATTACACTTTTAGATAGAAAATGAAAGTATATACTTTCGCTTTGTTTGACTTTTAAATAGCTGTTGAATGTCTGTTGCAGAAAAAGGCAATCAATCGTTTAAAATCAATTATAATCATAATTACAAAAGCTACATGAATATCTGTTAAAATTATAAAAATAATACTCAAATGGAAAAAATCAGAGAAAATGAACCCATCGTTCCAGATAAATTGTAGTTAGCGAAGTATATCGTACGGACATTTTTAATCCGGGAATTTCAAAAATCTGACGTTTTCCTGGCTTTTTTACGTTTGTGATATTTTACATGTCAGATTTTTCGAACCATGTTGATTTGATTTATCTAAAATATATTTTTTTAAAAAGTTTACTGAACTAAAGCGGTTCATTGTATAAAACATGCAAGGATCCAGACTTTTTTTCAGAAGGAGGGGGATGGGTGGTCCATATTATCTAGCTTCAGTCTTCACGCGACAATCAAATAAAAAGGAGCTAGTATAAAATGTTTTATCTCAGTCAGACTGTTCTTAATTCTTTTTTTTCTGTCTCGTGAAAACATCAGATTAAAATACTTAGTACTGGAGAGGGTTACATTATTGCTTAAATTTCATCAAATATAACATTCTACTATTTCTACCTGTTCCCATGAACAGTGGCGTATATTTCTTTCTGCTTACGTGTAGGCTAGTGTGAACGGTGTCTTCCCACTTAGCCAAAAATCTGAAAATGTTACAGGTGACTGGTTATGGCTAGGTGGAAATGGTGTACAGGTAGGGGGATGGAGAGAACAAAAGAAATTAATTACAGGTGACCTATAGCCTATTTAAGATTAACCACGAGAAATAGGTTTAAATTTACTTTTTATACATTTTGAATAAATTAATGCCATTTTTTCTAAATTATTTTTTTAAAATTAATAATTAATATTTTCCAAGATTTTTTCATATTCCAGTTCTTAGGAGAAAAAATTCTAAGAACCATCCACATTTCAAAACTTGTGACATGATATTAAATCTTTTTCAAAGAAAAAAAATTGTTTGTATCATCTGTCCTTAATAATAAATGAAGAAATAAAAAAATCTTTCTTCATTTTTTTTATTTGTAAATGGTAAACGATTTGTATGTTCTTTTTTTTTCTTTTTTTAATTTTCTATATTTTGCATCTTATTTAATTTGATTTTTTAAAATTTCTTACAAATTTTAAGTGCCAATTTTTTATATACTTTGTATCACATATATTTTAAAAATACATGTGGATGAAAGGTACGGTATTATAAATGTCTTTGAAATCTTGAATCTATGTACTGTAATCATGTGTTTAAATTCAAATGCGAATAATTCTAATTATTAAATAATTTACTAAAATAAAATATCACATTAAAGAAAAAACATGAATAAGATGACTGATAAATTAATATGTAAAAGTGTTTATTTTTAAATAAACTTTTTTGAAATAAATATGCTTATATTAAACTGTTTTGTTTGAAAAATATGTTAAAGCAAGATATTCTCTAATAGATACTCTAATTTATCATTCAAACATTTTTTTGTGCATTAAGAATTCGTTTGAACATATTTTATTTGAATAAATTCTAAACAAATGAATGAAATATATGTTTTGCATGGACACCATGTATTCCTACTAAACTATATATAGTTTAGTAGAAATACATGGTGTCCATGCAAAACATAATATGTTTTATATAAATCAGATTATATTATATTTTTTACATCAATGAAGTTTTTTTATCGTACATGTATACATGTAATTCCTATTTAGTACAAATATTTCTGCAAAGTAACTTAGACTCAATTCTTTTTCTTTTCATGAACAAGCTCCAGACAGCCCAGTATTACGTTATGCTACAACTCCATATCATAGTCCCGGAGAATTGACACTGTATCGAGTTTGTAGTGTGAAATTTGAGTAAACAATGAGCTTCCGCTCGACATATGTAAGTATTGGGGGGGGGGGGGGGGGTCAAAGGGAGCATTTTTACAAACGCAAGACCTACAAGTTTGATTTCCCCAGTGAAAATAATTATTAGAGACGTATTTACAGTTAATATGATGTGAAGACCACTTAACAAAACTTAAAACTCTTAACTTATCATTTTACTCGATTTAAGAAAAAAATGGAAACTTCCTTACTGCACGAACAATCAAAATTCGATCAAAAAGTTGAATTTCCTACTCACCAAATATAATTCAAGTTGTCAATTTCGTTTCCCGCACTTATTTTAATATTATGGACTGCTGTTGTTTTTTATGACATTTTCTGATACAGACTTTTAAATATTAATAACACTTGATGAACTATTTGTCTTAAACAAATTTCAAGCTAAGAGTATATTTTTATCCTTAAATATAAAGCTAAACTGTAAACATAATCGGATAGGTATAAAAATACGGATTGCTACTTAAAAAATGCTTCTTTGGCAGTAACTCCCAGCCCCTTTACTCAACCACTGATGAGCGGTGTCTATAATACGATTACATTAGTATTTTTTATACCGGGATCATTCAAATATTACTCACCGGTGGATTTAGAGGGGGTGGGATGGAGAGGGATCCCCCTCTTTTGTGTCCAAAATTTACACAAGATTTAATGATTTAAAAAATCATTTATGTGTGTATAGTTGTGGGTACTTACCCCGACCCAACCCATCCCCCTTTTCAAGATTCTTGGATCCGCCACTGTTACTCAGGAGCATTACAGCAAGCGAAGGGTTTTTGATTAATCATTTCACTCCCCATAACCCCAGCAATATAGCTTGGATGGTTCCAAAGGATATGACCACAAATCAATATTGATAAATGCCCATTTTTTCGGTAAGTTTGCCCCCCCCCCCAATGTCAAAATGGCTACTAATATGTAATGTAATTTACTTATATACATCTGTATATACATGTAACAAGTATTGAAGACCTAAATACAGCCAATCTGTAAACAACCGTGGCGGATCCAGTAATATCGTAACCGGATGGGGGCGGGGGCGCAGTAGAAGGCAGCTAAGGGGTCTTGTGGCTTTACTAAAGCCCCCAATGTGTCTAAGACAAGGTCCTTTAGTAAGCTGACAATTAATTTCTTACAAATAAGGGATGTTTTTTCTTGATTTTAGGATAATGTACATACAAATTTTATATACAAAAAAATTCAAACGTGAGGGGGGGGGGCACGCCCGGCGCGCCGGCCCTGGTTCCGCCTTTGAACAATGCATAGCTACTGGACTTTGTGTGATATGGAGAATAAATCTCAATTGCAGGTAAAAATTACTAATTGAGAAGGAGGTTGAACTCCAGTGCACGTAAAATTTCCTCTTTCGAAAAAAAAAAGATTCAAGAATGAAAATTCCGTGGGGGGGGGGGGGGGGGGGGAGGGCACTATAAGTACTTGAATTGAGGTTTTCAGGATATTTGCCATGGGTTAGATCTTTCATGCAGATATTTTTTTTGAGGGGGGGGGGGGGGGGGTGGGTGGGGGTAGATAGTCATATTCAGACCGATTCAAATCGAATGCACAAATGGGCATTTTGATTTATTATGCGCCCGGATTAATAGATCCGGGGCGTGTATTGTTTTTGTCCTGTTTGTTTGTCTGTCTGTTTGTTTGTTTGTCTGCAAACTTTAACCTTAGACATAACTTTTGAAACACGAAAGATAGAGACTTCATATTTGGTATGCATACTCCACTAATTAAGCTCTTTCAAATGACATCAAGGTCAATGGCCTTGTGACCTTGACTGTGATTTATATGCTAAAAATACCTTTTTATCTGCAAACTTTAATCTTCGGCATAACTTTTGAACTGTGAAAGATAGAGACTTCATATTTGGTATGCATACTTCACTAATTAAGCCCTTTCAAATGACTCTAAGGATAATGACCTTGTGACCTTGACTGTGATCTGTATGCTAAAAATATTTTTTTCATATCTTTGCCGTAACTTTCGAACCATACAAGACAGAGACTGCATAATAAGTATGCATACTCCACTAATTAAGCTCTTAAAAATAACACAAAGGTCAATGACCTTGTGACCTTGACTGTGACCTTTATGCTCAAATGACACCAAGGTCAATGACCTTGACTGTGACATATATGGTAAAAATAGCTTTTTTAGAATTTTGTTGCCACCGGGCGCATAGTGTTTTTCAAACACATCTTGTTTTATACAAGAAATCAGATAAGAAAAAATAAATGTTCCCCATTTCTTTTTTCACTTCACACATGTACATGTATAAAGAACTTAAAAATTAATTCCTTAAATAGCAATTCAATCTTAAAGAAATGTAAATCTGGGGCCTGTTTTACAAAGGAACTTACGACTTAAGACCAAATTTAGTTCTTCGTATAGATTTCTAAATAACATATTGAAAATGATTTTAATCTTTCTAAAAGGAATGTAGTAAGATATTTTTACACCAGCAATTTTAAGCAGAATCATTAATTTTGCAAAATGTTACAGTCATCAGGGATCTGATGTTTTTGGTCGTCACTCTTAGTCATAAGTTCTTTGTGTAAAAAGGACCCCTGTAGTTTCATGCCTCTTTTTATATACATTGTATAAGGTAAATGATAAGTGAAATATCTCATAAAATCTGTTTAACTTTATGTCAGGTAAAATTGCATGCAAGCCAATATTAGGAATTAAAGCTACATTTCACTGTTTGCAGCATGCATAATACGTACATGTACTACATAAATAATAATAATTTTTTTTAATTGTTTTTAATAATTAAATTTCATAGAATCATTTTTGTTAACAATCAAAATGAATTAAGATATTAAAAAAAAGTGTAAGATTTAACTTACATATATGTTAGAAACTAAAAGTTTATAACTACTTCATAATTAATAATACTGATGAATATTGGTTACACATAAATGTACAAAATAATGTGATATATGCTCTTCATCAACTGGAATAAAGTAACATAAATGATGGGTATAATAAAGTGCATAATTTATTCTGATACTCAGTATGTCATGCTGTGTGTTTATGACAGAACAATAATCACTGTAGATACTTGTACACTGTCAGTGTGTTGGTGTTACACTGTCCCACATAGAGATTGTTCTCATCATCCACACACACACTACTGGGAAGGTATACCCCTTGTTGTTGTGTGAGTAATAGAGACAAGAACTGACCGTCCTGATCAAGGAGGTGAACAGTGTTACTGAAATTATCACACACCAGGATGTGACCGAGGACATCAGTACAGATTCCATAGGGACGGAACCTTGGCTCCTGACCTGTGTAGGAGAACCTGTGTTGTCCCAATTTATTCACCACCACCACTGACATATTAATAAAGTCTGATGTACAGATATCTCCATTGATGTTTTCTGTGATGTAGTGTGGTTCACTATACAGTTCTTGTCCTTTGTTATCACTCTGTATGTTCTGTAGTTCTTTTCCTGTCTTGTTGTACCTGGTGACTTTACCTTCTGCATCCTTCCTCATCCCCACCAGTAAGTCCCCGTTGATGTGGGAGGAGTGTATACTGAGTGGTCTCCAGTCTCCAGTTTTAATGAATTCCGGGATATTATTATCCTGTGTTATCCTATTGATGACTTTCTTATCTTGGTCTGTAAAGATCAGATCCCTGTCCTGTGTCACTGTGTGGTAACCTTCATCTCTACCACTGGTTTTTATCTTCTGTATCACATTCCCCTGTAGATCTGTTTGGACAAGATTACCCCTGGCTCCATCACTGATACAGAGTCTGTCTGATTGATCTAGTGATACATGGTATACATCATCAACACCTGGTACATTGAACTCTCTGACCTTGGTGACAGAGGCAGATAGAGACATTGTTTGTTTCTTGTCAGATTTCTTTCTGTCTTCTTTCATCTGTTTATGTGTAGGTTTCATTGCTGTATTGTAGACACTTTCAATGGGCCTTATTTCTCTCTTCTCAGCTTTATTGTTGGTGACACTTATTTTACCAAGTAATTTGGTGACATCACTTTTGCTGTATTGACCAGCAGTAAATCCTGGTGTGACTGGTTTTGTTGTCTCTGGTATGGATCGGATCTTTGGTTTCTTCTCCGACATTAATTTCTGGGTTTCTGTAGAGGACAGGCATCTGTGGAGCTCTTTGGCAAGGTTATTAAGATAAGTGATGTAATCATCAAATGTCTTGTCTTGGGTGTTTAGATCTTCTAACAGTGAATGCTCTATCTGGTCTAACTGCTTCATGTTCTCAGATATGACTGTGTCCACCAGTCTTTTCAGGGACTCACCTTCAGTCTTCATGGATGTTCTAATGTTGTCCATAATGTGTTTGATTTCAGAGGAATCTTTTTTTATTTCTTTCTGTAAATCTTGGGACGTAGGGAGAAAATAATCTTGGGTCTTGGATATTTCTTCTTGAAAATCTGCAAATTTTTCTGCATAATTTTTTTCTAGATCAAGAAATACATGCCCCCGATGCTCTCTTTGTGTGACACATTTGGAACATACTGGAATTTGGCATTCTTCACAGAACATATCCACATCTTTAGAGGGGTGGATCTTGCATTTCTTCACAGGAAGTTGTCGTTTACGTTGCTGGTAAAGGACCACCTCATGGTTCTTGTTTTCTGGACTTTTCACATGTTCATCTCTGCATTGTTTGCACAACCTTTGATGACAAGGGTTGCAATAGAACTCACAATTTCTTTCACATTCTTCAATGGCACACTCCAAAAAGTGCTGGGCTGCGCGGGGAATATCCATTTTAGACAAAGCCATCTAAAATTGATGAGAATCGTATACATTGTACGAGAAAAGAAAAAAAATATGGAAATGTTTTCTATGCTACATGGAGGCAGAGTAGTAATAAAATTACACGTTAATTAATATATGTTTAACAGTACAGAATTATCCCTGAAACACATGAACTCCGACACCATATATATTGAATTAAATGTATCTCCGAATCACAACTGCATAATTCAGACATATATCACGAAGATGTTTTTAATTACATGTACTTACAGCTAAATTGTGAATGACTCCCTTGACAGAACTTTGGAATGTGAGAATGAGATTTAAAGCGAAACTTAAACGATATTTGTAATTTACTTCCTGGTTGGAGATATTGATCATCAATCTATATACATGTACCCAGAGTTATCGTTCACTCCGCTACAACACCTCGAGGTGTAAGTGTAACGATATAACTCGGGGTAGAGATTGATTGATATTTGTCCCCCGCTTTCGCGAAAGCGAGGGGACATTAAATCTCATTCGTCTGTCCGTCTGTCCGTCGGTCCGTCTGTCTGTCCGTCGGTCCGTCAGTCTGTCCGTCCGTCACAAAAACTTTAACCTTGCCCATAACTTTTGATTTAGTGGAGCTAGTACTAGGACTTTCATATTTCACATATTTATTCTTTGTGACAAGACCTTTCAATGAATACCAACAACTTTGACCTTTTGACCTTGACCTTGGAAATTTACGTACTTATGAAAAAAATATATCCTTGACCATAATTTTTGAACGGTAAAGGCTACGGCTTTTATACTTCATATATTTTATTCTTGTAAGAAGACCTTTCATTGAATACCAAGAACTTTGACCTTTTGACCTTGACCTTGGAGTTTTAACTACTTTTTAAAAATTATAACCTTGGTCACAACTTTTGAACGGTAGATACAAGGACTTTTATATTTCACACATGTATTTTTTGAGGCAACACCTTTCATTGGATATCAACAACTTTGACCTTTGGACCTTGACCTTGGAGATTTACGTACTTCTGAAAAAACTTTAACCTTGACCATAACTTTTAAACGGTAAGGGCTAGGGCTTTCGTACTTCACGTATGTAATCCTTGTGAGAAGACCTTTGATTGCATGCCAAGAACTTTGACCCTTTGACCTTGACCTTGGAGTTTTAACTACTTTTTAAAAACGTTAACCTTGGTCACAACTTTTGAACGGTAGAAACTAGGACTTTCATATTTTAAATATATGTATTCTTTATGGCAAGACCTTTCATGGGATACCAAAAACTTTGACCTATTGACCTTGACCCTAAAAATGATATCTTGCCCACAAAGATACCGAAAGCGGGGGACCACAATTCTTTGAATTTGCTTGTATTTATAGTTTTACATTGCAAAGATAGGAAAGGGGAGGGGTGTGCATAGACCAACACTGATATATGGACTTAATTATCGCAATTTAAAATACCAGCGTCATACACAAATAGGGTTTTTATAAGTTTTTATGCCCCCGTAAACGAAGTTTTGGGGGTTTATAGTTTTTGTCGTGTCCGTCTGTCCGTCTGTCTAGCTGTATGTCTGTCTGTCTCTCTGTTTGTCCGCAAAAACTTTAACCTTGTCCATAACTTTTGATTTAGTGGAGCTATGACTTTCATAGTTCAGATGTGTATTCCTTGTGACAAGACCTTTCTTTGGGTACCACCAGTTTGACCTTTTGACCTTGACCTTGGAGTTTTACCCACTTGTACATGAAAATTTTAAACTTTTTACTTTGGCCATATCTTTTGAACAGTAGATACCAGGACATGTTTACTTCACATATGTAATTTTTGTTGAAAGACCTTTCATTGGATACCAACAACCTTGACCCTTTGACCTTGACCTTGTAGATTTCCGTACTTGTGAAAAAAAAGGGCTTTCATACTTCATATATGTAATCCTTGTGAGAAGACCCTTCATTGGATAGCAAGAACTTTGACCTTGACCTTTGACATTGACCTACTTTAAAAAAGCAAACCTTGACCATAACTTTTAAAGGGTTAGGGCTAGTGCTTTCATACTGTACATATTTAATCCTTGTGGCAAGACCTTTCATTTGATAACAAGAACTTTGACCCTTTGACCTTGACATTGGAGTTTGGCCTACTTTTAAAAAAAATTGAACGCTGGCCATAACTTCTGAACTTTTAGGGCTAGCGCTTTCATTCTCTACATAAGTATTCTATGTGGCAATACCTTTCATTTGATACTAATTACATTGACTTGACCTTGCCCTTGGAGATTTTTGTACTTATTGAAAAAAAAACAAACATTGACTTACTTTCAGATTTCACAATTGTTTTCCAGTGAGTATACCCTACTTTGGTACCAATTAATTAAATTTGCATTTAAGAAAAGTTTAATCTTTGCTATGTTGCCATACGGGGGCATCAGTGTTTCACAAACACATCTTGTTAGTTTTAAAGTCAACGAGTACTTAGTATAGTAATCCCATTAAAGATGCACATGATATCATCTGTCAATTTTTTTAGCTGTGGAACTGTACATAGAGTTATGGTTAAATTATACATAACTATTAGTCTTTGACCATAACGCTACAGATCACGTAATGCAAAAATTGCGCAAAATTATGTTGCACGATTCTTTGTGCACTGTTTGAAAGAATTTCACCACTTTCCAACTTGGTAAATCATAAACCTTTCACCCCCTGATTCCAGACATATATTTTTTTTGCAATGGGATCGAGAGCATATGATAACATAATGTAGACATTGAAAAATCAGGCTAATGAAGCCCCAAACTCCATTTTTAGCTCTACTGGTCAGAAACCAGAAGAGCTTACGTGATAGTAGTATAACTTGGCACACAAGTAGTACAAACTATGATACATAGTTTAGTGCATTAGTTTTTATTTCGATGAACGGTGTTGCCATGGTTTCTAAATTCTGTGAAATTCCTCTAAAACGCTACTCCTCCTACAGTTTTGGTTTGATTTCAATATAGCTTGGAACAAAAGGAGACTACACTGTGATACTTAATTTAGTGCATCAGTTTTGATTTCGATGAACGGTGTTGCTATGGTTACTAAAAAATAGAAATTTCTGTGAAATTCATTTAAAACGCTACTCCTCCTTCAATTGTTTGGTAATTACCCTCGCCCTACACACGCCTAGGAAATGTATTTGTTATCCTGAACTAGATTTTTATGCCCGGCCCCGCTTGAAAGGTGGGAGGGTACCGTATATACTCGCCTATAAGTCGGTCCGCTATAAGTCGGTTGTATTTAATGAGCTTCTATATCAGATGGACTGACCTCATATAATACCATTCATTTTATAGCCCGCCTATAAGTCGGACATAGAGTTTTAGACCAGAGATTAACTCCCAAAAACCGACTTATAGGCGAGTATATACGTACCTGTTTTCTCAAACCATGGACAGTCCTATATTCTATCAATAATATTGAATTGTACCCAACTCTTACTTGCAACTCCTCCTATACCACTGAATAAAATTTAATGATACTTTTACATATTCTTCATTGTATAATGCCATGGTACACCTCCTATTTTACTTTCATTTTGATTTTACACTTATAAGTATTTCAGATATCCCACAGCAAAACATGGCATTTGCAATTATACATGTCATCACATGGGACTGTGAGAGGCGGAGGTATCATTTAGTGAGCTCATTGCTCACAGTACCTGTTTTTTTTAATTTACAAAATGCGTATTATTTTGGTGGATTGGTTCCACTGCATTCTACACTAAAGGCATTCTTTTCCATATGAAAAAGCAAAATCTAGCATCATTGTGACAAAAGAAAACAAGAGGCCCAGGGACCACATCGCTCACCTGAGCAATTTGCTACGAAAAAGCACATATCAGATCCGAACTGAAAGTTTACTGAGTTGGGGTGGGGGGGGGGGCTTCAATTTTAACCTCCTAGGGGGTCATGGTTTGAACAAACTAGAATCTACACTACCTGAGGATGATTCCATATAAATATCACTCAGCATGGATTTGAAGTACTTGAAAAGAGGATTTTAAAAGGTTTCCCTATATATTCCTATGTAAAACTTTGATCGGCCATTTTGGCCCCACCCTACTCCCGGGGGTCATGATTTGAACAAACATGAATCTACACTACCTGATGATGATTCCACATGAGTTTCATCTTTCCTGGCCCAGTGGTTCTTGAGAAGATTTTTAAAAATTTTTCCTATATATTCCTATGTAAAACTTTGATCGGCCATTTTGGCCCCACCCTACCCCCGGGGGTCATGATTTGAACAAATTTGAATCTACACTACCTGGTGATGATTCCACATGAGTTTCATCTTTCCTGGCCCAGTGGTTCTTGAGAAGAAGATTTTTAAAGATTTTTCCTATATATTCCTATGTAAAACTTTGATCGGCCATTTTGGCCCCACCCTACCCCCGGGGGTCATGATTTGAACAAATTTGAATCTACACTACCTGGTGATGATTCCACATGAGTTTCATCTTTCCTGGCCCAGTGGTTCTTGAGAAGATTTTTAAAAATTTTTCCTATATATTCCTATGTAAAACTTTGATCGGCCATTTTGGCCCACCCTACCCCCGGGGGTCATGATTTGAACAAATTTGAATCTACACTACCTGGTGATGATTCCACATGAGTTTAATCTTTCCTGGCCCACTGGTTCTTGAGAAGAAGATTTTTTAAAAATGCCATTAATTTTTCTCTAATTCATAATTATCTCCCCTTGGAAAAGGGCGTGGCCCTTCATATGAACAAATTTAAATCCCCTTTGCCCAAGGATACTTTGTAGCAAGTTTGGTTGAAACTGGCCCTGTGGTTCTTGAGAAGAAGTCGAAAATGTGAAAAGTTTACAACGACGACGACGACAACGACGACAACAACGACGACGACAACAGACAATGGACAAATTTGATCAGAAAAGCTCACTTGAGCCTTTGGCTCAGGTGAGCTAAATATATTATATACTTCAGTTGTTTTGTCTCCCAAAAAGGGTTGGTGTTTTTTTTAAAAATAATAATGTACTATGAATGCACCCCCTTCACCCTTGCTAAAGGCTGTGATTGAAACAACTCTTTCATTTTAAACCAGAAGTCTCTGTCAAGACTGTAGCTCTACTGGTTTGTCCTTATAACAAAGGAAGAACAAGAGGCCCATGGGCCGCATCGCTCACCTGAGAAGCTTTGACCATGCTACTATTCTAAACCAGATTTTACCCTTGCAATACCTATTGTGACCCCATTATACCCCACGGGTCATAACTTGAACAATTTAAAATCTACACTACACCAGGATGCTTCCACATAAGTTTCAGCTTTTCTGGCCAAGTAGTTCTTGAGAAGA